CCCCCAAAAAAAAAAAAAAAAAAAAAAAAAGATCTAGCCCTGTATTCGGAGTTTCCTTGGGGTTGGTAAGACGAAATGGACCTTTGCCCATTGAGTGCCCTACCTCGGGCCATCGACATTATACGCCCTACTGAAATTAGATTTTCCTGAAAACCAACTATATCTGATCTTGGTTGGCCTTTCAGCCTAACCACAAGTCATCCCCGTCTTTTGTCACATACATGTGTTCGGTCCTCCAAGGCCTATTAGAGCTCTCTTCTACCTGCCCATGGCTAGACCGATAGGTTTCGGGTCAAATAGGAAGTACTCGAAGATTCCACCTCTAGAAAGCGCCTACACCTAATAGTTTAAGCTGTTGTTCCCATTTTCTTGCTGACCCATCATCTAAAAGGTATGCCGTTAGAATGAATGCACTTTACTAAGAGAATCTCAAGTAAAGGCTTGCCGCTCTTCTCCCTATGGGTCGAGTTGCTTCACTCCTTTTGACTGGTTGTTCACATTGTGAATGCCAAAAAAAACCTACGAAAAAAAAAAAAAAAGACAATAATGCTGCAATTTGTCCACAAACGACGGCAGAAAGAAATACCCACGAGTGGATGCAAAAGAAGTGAAAAATAGAAGTTGCAAAACAAATAATGAAATAAAATATACAAAAAGAAGATATCTGTAAATTATAATTGGACAAAATCATATTGGTGCTTTTTTCTTTGTTAAAATATTTTGAAAATGGCAGTGGTTGGTTAGTTTGAATGCTGGAAAGTGGTGCCTGCCGCCAACTGAATTCATTATGTTCAGGTTCCAGAAAGTAAGAGCATAAGGGCTGTTCTGGTTGATGAAGAAGCTGTTGGATCAGTGGACGGTCCAGGATGCGGAGCCAAAGTTCTTTATGATGTTGATGAAGAATTAAAGCAATGTTCAAAAAGTGGAATAGTCATAAATCTGAAGGTATTTTCTCATCACACTCACTTCAACCCTTTCAGTGTTAGTATTTTCTTTGGTGGCTATGAAGTTTGATATAATATCTCTGCCCTGATGAACAGGGAAATGGTTTGTTGGCGGAGGACGAGGGTCGGTTCTCGAATGGAGTCGAGTTTCCATCCATAACTATGAGATTGTAAATGCTTTCCGGCGATCATGTAAGTAAGTTTATTGGACAGATCAGTATCAATCAATAATAAAAGGTTATGAAGTAAGTAGAGAAGTTATGTGGACTTATGAAGTATGTTGCCATTGTAAATGCATAATAAAAATTTTCTTCTTATCTTAGTCCACATATTTTGAATCCCAAGAAGGAATTTAGCTTATATTAAATAATGTAATATGAAAAAATAGGTTTTATTGTAGAATTGGTAAATTTTTTTATTTCTACGTTCCTTATTGATTAGTCTTGTTCATTAAGTCTATCTTCTTGTTCTCAACTCAATCCCGTAATCGAGTACGAACTTGAAACGTATCAAAATGTTCAAAACTTAAGGCAAAAAAACCTCGACTTTTCTATGATTCTAATATTGGTAAGTTGACTTGTGGGAGTCTTTTATAAGAGCGAGAATTTCAATGACTTGTGGGAGCCTTTTGTAAGAGAGAGAGTTTCAACCGAAAAATTGTGGTGATGGACCCAATCGGGCGGGAGATGTTTCAGCTTATATATATTCCTACTAACTAATGTAATCTAATTTCCATTACAGAACTCTCCTGCAAATGGAATATTTGAACTAATAGACAAACAAAGATTGAATGCACCCGTATACCATATCTGTACAAATAGAATAGTCGATTTATACAGAATGGTAAAGGGGGTCCCTCTATGATTATAGAAATGAATAGAAAGGGATATTTGAATCCTTACCAACTTGGCTACCGCTTCGCCCCGCTCCTACGCCTACCACCCAAATAGCTTAAGGTCTTATTTATAGGGCTTAAAATTGTATATATTATAAACCATGTGAATCTTATTTTAGTATCTAAAGTATGGAATATAACCATTTTATTTTTTAAAAATATTAATTTGAACCCTTTAAATTAATTAAATATTTTACTCCTATAATATTTAATACACGGAACCTTTCTAATTCTTTTTTTCCAATAAAACTTACTTTTAGTGTTATCATCTTATATAAACTCTTTAATCAATTCATTAAATTATAGGTCACTCCACTATTATAAATTCATAATGGATCTTTCATGTACGATAGACAAATTGTATCCATGAATGTAATTATTATAGGTAAGTTGATCATTCACAAATTATTCATAATTACAATTATGTCAAAATTTTATTTTACCGAGTTACAATTGAATCATACATGTAAGAATCTTTCCCCTTAAGCACTACTAATTCTCTAGTTAACATCTTTTTTATGATCTAACCACAAACTAAATTCCTCTCGGGTGAATGAGGATGTAAGCTCTCATTGTTTAAATACAAAATTAGTATTTAAAGAAACTATTCATCTACTTTCTATATACGAAAAAAAAAGTACCATTCATATTCTAAAATTAATTATGTTCCTAGTTTCCTATTTGTTACTATAAAACTCATTCCTACCCATGCAAATCAAAAGATAAGTCCTCATATGCAGAAATTCATAACATAATAATTAAAATCAACTTGCAATGATGATCGGTAAAATAATAATTTCTTTCAATTAATAGATTTATATGGAGAGATTAAGTATTTTATGGTCTAGTTTTATACAAATTAATTATTCAGAACGCCCCACTCACTTGTCTTCATGTGAACGATTTAGATCAAATTATTTGTAATATTTGCAAAGTATACCGCATAAATAATACTAAGATAAGAACTCTAACCTTAGATTTTTTTTTTTTTCATTGATTTAACATGATTCTCTGGTATGTCAACTACATATTATCCAAGTTCGAGTCCAAAAATAAGCATTCGAGAGAACTACTTATCTACTTACTTGATATGAAAAATGAGAAAAAACTATAAAATGAAATTCACTCACAAATAAGATCAAGTCGCATATAATTATCTTATAAAATATTCATTTTCTTAATTAATAGATAAGAAAGATTAAATATTTCATAGTTCATTGTATATGATGTCATACTTGCAGACCTGAACCCTTTCAGTTAGTTTGGATTAATCACTAGCTCTTTTTTTTTTCTTCTAAAAGTCTTTTATATTCGTCTAAACCTACAACATTGTTATCGTAGTATTTGAACTACGCACGTAACAAAATAAAATTAAAAAAAAAAATTACAAGATATATGAATAGAATAATGTTCAAAAGAAAAAAGGTTGCCTTCTTATCAAGAAGGAATATAAATTTCACGTTTCTTTATAAAATGTTCTTTCAAATTTTAAATTTTGATAAAAGTTTTTGGCTTTTCAGTTGTTGAAATCATTAGAGTTGATATTGTCGTTGATAGAACTAAGATCAACATCATTAAATTTTTTATTACAAAAAGACATTCAATGTTTACCATTTGATTCGATCAAACATACCTATAATTCAAAAAAATTATACTTTATTTCATTTCTTCATTACAAACCCTAAGCACATCATAAAATAATAATAGATGATTTATTTACTGAATCAAGTTGGGATCTTGATGTTCTTCGTGATTGTTAAGGTGGCAGACACATAAATAAACCAATTAATCAACCAATCAATGAATAAAAAGCAATAAAGTGCGTGGGATTCAGTGTAATAACTCAGATTTAAACATCTCAACACCAACACTTCGATGATAATCATCATTAGCCAATAATAAGAGCAACAATTAATAGTAATAATTATATAATTCAATCTGAGTTAAAAGAAAAAGAAAAAGAAATGAAGAAATTTAAGTTAAGGGAGTAGGAGAATGTGGAGGGGAAATGGTATCCTTCTTCCCAAGATTGTGCTTATTGTTATGCATCCAAACCTTAAGAACTCTCCTCTTCACTCCAATCTCTTCACAGAATTGCTGCACCACACTCTCCTCTTGTTTCTGAAGCTTCCATCCAACTTTCTCTGCAAACCTCAGCATCTTCTCCTTTTGCTCCGCCGTGAACTTCGTTCGGAATCGCTTCTTGTTCATCATTGGCCCCGAGTACGCCCTCGCCTCCTCGTGCTCCTCCGACTCTGACTGCCCACCTCCCCCGCCGAGCATGTTGTACGACATTATCATGTGGTGGGGTTGTGCTCTAGACGATATGAACGCCGGCCCTGCCGCGGATGGATACGCAAATGCAGCTGCCTCTGGTGGGGCGATCATGTTCTTCCCTCCGACGAGGAGCTTCCTCCCGAGTCGAGGGTGGTGGAGCCAATCGTAGGGTTCTCCCTCGATCTCTTTTCGATGGAAGTTTCTATGACAATTGCAAGCCGAACACGTGAGTGCTTCAATGGATCCTTCTTCTCCACTCGGCATGAACTCACCACACCCATCTGTGGCATTACCTCCCATGGAGGCCGCATGGTTTTTGAGACACTCCTTATATTTTACCTGCTTCTTCGTGTTATTGTTATTGTTGTTGCTGTTGTTATGATTATGGTGAAGCTCGACTTCCATCTGAGAAGATGGAAGTGGGCTACCGCCATTGACTGCCGCCGCGATGATATGGTTGCAAGCGGCGGACGGGTCATGGTGATGGATGACATGGTCGTGGTCGTGGTCGTGGCCACCGTAGCGACTATTTAAAGGGATGGGGATGGGAATGGGATGATCTTGAGTAGTGAGCTCCATTATTGTTAAGAAGATGAAGAAAAAGAGAGAAAAATAGGGTATGTTTGGGGTATAAGTGGATTAAAGGGAGATGCTTTGAGTTGAGGAAGAAGAAATAAGAAAAGGGTTTGGGAAGAAAAATGGTAGAAGAGAGTTATTGCATTGCATATTTGGAGGAGGAGGAGGGAGTTAGGGTGAAGACACTAAATAATAAGTAAAGAGTTTTATAATTAAAAAAAAGTTCTTTTAACCGACAAAACTGGAGAACACAACAAAAGACACAGTGGTTTTTTTTTTTTTTTTTTTTTTTTTTTTTTTTTTTTAAAA